ACAGCACACCTGTTCACTTCTGATGGCACACTTTTGTGGCACAGCACACTGATTGGAAAACACTGTACTAGTTAGAGTGGAGTCTAGAATGATTCCCTCCCTAGGATAGGATTTTCAGTGTCTGTTCCCCACTTAAAAATACAGCCAACTAGGAAATGGAGAAGACTATATGCTATTTCAAGGGGGAAAAAACAATAATAAAGATGTGGTAGAGAGCTACTAAAGCTGTAAATATATTAAGTTCTTCTATATATAGTGGAAAAGATAAAATATTGAAGTCAGCTGTAAATAAATGGCTTTCCCTTAGGGTTTAATAAAGAACCACAGAGCATTAAAAGAAAAAAGCTGGCAAGAGAAACTAAGTGAGAAGTGTTCTACTCAGTTATCACCACGTGTTTTGGCACTCTTATGAACACACACACACCTGGTAACTGGACAGTTTGGGGAACTGATAATGGCAGAAGTTGTTCACCTGTTGATCACTGATATTTGACCTGAAATAGCCATAAATACTAATATGTGATGTGTTTCATATTCTGGAAGTAATGAAACTGATTTCTATTGTACTGGTGTCTGCAGTTTCTTTTAACAGTATGTGTAATGCAGGGCCAGTCTCAAAGAAGACGAAGAACTGCATTAGGTGAGACACGCAAATTGCCTAGAGTTGGTTACTTTATTCCAGGAGTGAAATAGAATAACATGTGTTTGGGTTACGAGAAAAAACTCAGTTCTGTGGATAAGCAGAAGACTTGCATTTCCAGGAATGCATTGGCTTACAGTAGTACTAAACCCTGATCCAACAAAACACTTCAAGCACATGCCAAGTCCTGCGAAGTTAATGGAGCTACTTCAATTTCTCTTCTAGATCAGGGCCTCTGTATTTTTAAAAAACATTTAAGGTCAAGTTCTGCTTTTTGAACTCTGCATGAAACCTTAATAGCTTCTGTAAGATCCTAAGTTTTGTAAATATCTAAGCATAAAGCTGTTTTTTTCTGACTTGCCAAATAGGATTAAGAAATTAAAAATGCCATTCAGGCAAACATCTACTGTAGAGTAAGATGAACCTGTTGTGCACTGTTAATTACCCCTGATAAAAATGTGTTTATGATTGCAACCAATCTGTTCTTACAAAGCAAAGACAACTATGATAGGTTTCAAGTTTTATCTGGAGTGTAGCAGTTGTAGCTGCATTCTGTCCCTGTTCTTTAGGGTTGGCATGATTTCAATCTGTAGACTAACTTGAGGAAAAGATCGAACAGAGCTGTATTCAAAAAATCTGTTTAGGCTTGATTCACATTCCTAAGATTCTTTAGGTTCTGAGAATTTATTTGGATAAAGTGATGAAATGCTATACTGAAAATGAGTCATGCATTCAGTCTTTTGGTTCTTTTGTAATTGTGCCATGACAAAGGTTCAGTTATTGCTGCTGAATGAAACCAAGAAATATATATTTCTCTTACAGTGAGCATGCTATGCTCTCAGTACTTAAACGATTCCTGCTAGTTGCAGCCTATGCTTCCTTAGAGAAAAGAATGTGTCTATTGTATCCAGATTACTTCCAAACTGATAGATCATGTTTAAAAGCTACATTTAATTCTCTTAGGTTTCTGCATATTTTACTAAGAGATTAAAAAAGAAACTTAAGAAAACAAATGTAACTCTTGTTGGCATGGTAAATGGAATCCCTAGCCTGACTTGAGTGAGTGGATGCCTGTGCATACATAAATACATGTTGATGTACATATATGGTATATTGCATCCTTGAAGTGGTGACTGAGTAGTTAGGTATGTGTTTAAGGAATTACAGTTCTGGGTGAGGCTTTTTAAGACTCCTCTTAGCTGGCAACTTTTATTTGGCCAAATATTAATGATCCTAAAGACAAAGGGCTAATCCTGCCCTTACTTGTCTAATGCCTGTTGAGGGAGGTATGCTGTGGTTCCCAGAACTAGCTATTGCAAAGTAGAATGCAGTTCTGCAAAGTGATATTGGTCTCTGGTTGAGATGTGATGCACCAAAACATCTGCCAAGGACTTTGAGCCTGACTACATGACTTATTGAGTACACTAGTCCCTTGATATTCTGAAATGCTTGCAGTACTCAAGCTGGGCCAGGGAGAGGTGAAAAGATGCCTCTTTCCCAAGTCATTTATATAACCTAAAACATTTTATTGTAAAAAATACAAGAAAGCACAATAAACCCACTGAAGCAGATGTAAATTGAGTTGCACTAGTGATGGAGTTGCACCAGTAGCATCTGCTTTGTATTTTCCCTTGGTTCATGGTTGTTTCCTCTTGTGTATGTTATCTAGACAGTTTACGTAAGTCTTTTTCCTCTTGAGAGGCCAGGTAGGATGAGGTACTTGTTCTACCGGATAACATCAGGAAGGTTTTTTAATAATAATAAGCATAGAATATAGTATTCTGTTAACTCTGAAATATCCTACTGATCACAGAACGTTACACAAAGAGGTTTAAACTACTTTGTGGAGCATAAAAAGTTAAACATAAAATGTGGGCCTTGTCCAGTCCACAAAGTAAGGTCAAATCTAGTGCTCATTTACATCAGAGTACATGTAAATATAGTTTCTGTAGGTTTTATCGTGAAGTAAGCAGAATCTGGCCCTGAGGACTGCATATTTATCTTGTAAGACCTAATCTATTTGATCTATGTTTTCTCTAGTATCCTGTTCAATGGATAGTACTCGAGTTGTTTTAAGGGCAGCATTTGAAGCATTGGATAGCTGGATACGACATTGTTTATAGCTCTTCTGAAGTGGGGGGGTTTGGAGGGAAAGTCCAGTTTCAACAAATTACCTTCTGCTACCTAGTTTGGTAATGCTTCATTCCCCATATGTTACTCCTCGCTTCAAAAACAAAATTCCTAAGATTCCTTTCGGTTTCCTTCTGGTATAAACTGTCTAACCGAAGTGGTTTTATATGTTCTCGCTGTTTCCCTTATTGCTTTATGCAACAGCATGAGCTGTCTGTCAGGAAAAAACTTCAGGAATTTTTTCTAATCTGGTTAATCATGGGTGTAGTTCAACCTTGAAGATATTTTACAGTCAATTAGCTCTAGAGGAGGAAAAAAATCCTCTTTTTAGAGGAGAAAAAAAAATCAGTGATCTAACCAGCTCGTAAGTCAGACATCAGCATTGTCGAAAGTTATGCTGTTACCTCAAATAACACATGACATCTGTTGGGTTCACATAATAGAGAAAGATATATAGAAACAACTTTTGTTTTGGAAGTCATAGTTCCTCTTCCATTACAGCTCTGACTTCTTAAAATCTAGGTTTCACTTCAGCTGGTGGCCTTGCCACCCACGTGCTCATAATATACCCTGCTGATTCAGGTCCTACTGAGTAAACTCTAACAGATAAATAGAGTCTTCTCCATAAGTTAAAGAAGATATGCCATTTATGCAGAAGGTAATTTGGCCCATAAAATTCCCTGCCTCCAGGAGTTAATACCAATTATGGTTTCAATCCTGTGGAGTTATACATATGCCTACTTTTATATCTGAGTAATCCCAGTGGAACCAAGGGTACTACATAACAGTATGTGAGACATATGAGTACATCTTTGGAAAATTTGGTCCAGGTTTATGCCCTGTCAGTCTAATACAATAACTTATGTTTAGGGTTTCCTTTCATTTGATCAAACCCAGTTTTATGGACTTGACTTTTTTTATATACTTGTGTAAAAAAAAACAAACAAAAAATTATGTACCTGAACAATTCTGTTTGGTCAGTGAGACCTTCATCTTAGAGATGACAAGATTGTAATTTTTTATATCATGCAGGATGCTGAATAAAAATAGCAGTCTGTGGGGGAAAAAAATAAGCTCCTGAAAATTACCATTAACCATAACAATTGGAGATACCTGTGCCACTGGAAACCTTTGATTATCCAGATCAACATATTTAAATCTTAAGAAGGAATGCTTTCAATGAAAGATATTTCTGAATAGTGCAGAGAAGTTTTCAAACTCATTTTTGGGGGGACTCATTTCTATTTTCATGCTATAACTTTTTCATTTGTGAAAAGTTGACAAAATTGTGGCATGTCTGTTTTGCAGAAGCCTTCTGGTTTTCTTCTGTAAAGTCAAAGTCCTGCAAACTAGCCTTATAATCTAACCTTGGTTTGACTTGCATTGCCATAAGATGTGCATAAAGCAAAAGCTAATAGGGGAAAAATAATGAACATCCTAGAGGGTAATGTTTTGGCCAAATTCTGTTCCATTACACCAATGTAAATCTAGCACAGTTGCCTTGGATGTTCCTTAGCATAAGTGATAGTATAACTTGGCTCTTTGTTTTTAATTGGGTTTATTATCTATTCTGTTTTTCTGACTTAATGTTACTTTTCCTGAATGGAAATGGGTCTGAATCAATTTCAGAATCTGACAGCACCCAAATTACGAAGTTTTGATCTAGTTGAGACAGTGACAGCCAACCCTTATCACTCTAATAGTCTCTGAAACCCCTAAGTCTGAGAGACTGGAGTTGTTTGGAACCATATTTTGCAACTAGATGTCATATCTACTCTTGACTAGGAAAGATGCCTTAAAATAGGGAGGACTGTGAGGCCTATAGTGCTATTATGAGAGTGCTTCTGGAAGAAATGAAAGATTCCAGTCATTTGGAGATGCACACAAACCAAAGAACTGACATTCCATATTTTTGGAGCATATCTAGCTCCAGATTTAATTCCAGATCCAGTTCCACTCTTTGAATTACCAGGAATGTCACAAAGGCTTTTGAGCTTCCAGTAAAAGACATGTTAATTGGGCACTGGCTAATTATATGAGGAAGAAGTCACTTTTGTTTATTGCCAGGCAAGAAAAGGAATTTGAGCATGGGAAAGTAAGCAATACCAGGCCATTCATAAGTTCTTTTTTTGGTTTTTTGGTTTTCTTAATCCCTTTTTATAAGTGTGCATGACTAGCAGAAAAAATATTAATCAATTAAAAGGAAAAAAATCTCTCTCTTTCTCAACAGGATCCCCTTATTATGACAACGTCCGCCCGCTCTCCTATCCAGATTCTGATGCTGTCTTGATTTGTTTTGACATTAGTCGGCCAGAAACCCTCGACAGCGTGCTAAAAAAGGCGAGTGTTTGAGAAACATATTTTAAAATTCAAACTTATTTATAAATAGACTGTATTTTAATGTGTCACTGTTTCCAGTCACATAATCTTCAGCCTGTAGTTAATTTAAAGAAGAACACACTGCACATTGTGATGCGGTGCTCTTGAATCTTAGTTCCTTACACGAGAAAAATGGAAAATACTTGAACAGGCATTAGGGGAGTAGAGTTAACGCTATAGAAATATGCCTAGAAAGGAAGCTTCTTTTGTAGCTCTCCTCTTCCTCTTGACCTTATGACCATAAAATACGTGTTCAGGGAAGGGTGGGAAACAAGTAAACAGGTGTAGTAAAAACAAACTTGGGGTAGGTTGCATTGGTGGAGTTTAAAGCTGGTTTACCCAGCCTTTAGGCCCTGTCATAGCTCTGACACCACTCTGAGGTAGGAATATGCAGTCATGTTGAACAAGAAGCCAGTGACAGTTTGACTTTTAAAGAAGTCTTGATGCCCTGGAGGAGGTGCTTCAAAGAGCAGGCTAGAACTGCAAGCTTCACCAAACTCCAGAGTGCCGGTCATGTTTTTTAGATGTGTGATGGACTTTGGTAGAGTGCCTGAATTTTTTTCCCTGCCTTCTACCCTTTCCCATACCACCTCAGAAAAGTGAAGCTCAGGTAGACTTGAAAGTCAGGCCTCTTGCCTTTTGATTTCTCTGATCTTGTCCTCTTGATGGAAGGTGGGAAATAGAAATGCTGTGATATTAACTTTGGAGTCTGAGTACTATGTCTTGGAGGCAGTTCTGTGGAAAGCACTTAATGAGCACTTCAAAGTTAAATAATATTCCCCCATCAAATCTTAATGAGTCCAAGATTTGTGGACTTAGCCTGCAAATACATGGCTTTTTTTAGCATTTTGAAGGACTCTGTTTTGAGTTTTTGTTTCTTTCCTAGTGCTCTCACCCAGTATTTGCATAAAATACAAAGAATTCTGTATGTACAGGATTAAATATATTTCTTGATTGCTACAAGGTGGTTCTCTGCAGATTTAAATAGATATTTTTTTGAGTGTTATGTTGGCTTATGGCTACATTCTATGATTACCTTTTAGTGTTTTGTAGTCATATGAGACCTTGTAATTCAACTTTTGAGAAGCTCTCTTGAACTAATGGCAACACCCTTCAGTATTTCTACTGCAATGTGGGCAGAGCCAGTGAGTCATGGAACAAGGAATAAGATTGCAAATTGTTTACTGATTTAAGTAGGATCAGAGTTTAACCCTGTGAACCCTTAGTCATGTAAGTTAAATGTGATGCCATACAAGCAGTTTCACTGAAAATCATCTGAACTGGTGAGTTGATAAGGGTTGCAAGATCTGGCTGTCAGGCCAACGCTAGAGATCTTGTGTTGGTTCAGATGCACTAAAATCCTTGTAACCATGTTACATGTTGGCTCTAAGTTAAACAAATGCCAATGATGTAAACTTTAAATATGCTTTTATAATTTCATTCAAACTATTAATCCTTTTGCTTTTCTTTACTATGACCCTTCAGCTGAAATAGTTTGCATCTGTATAACAACAGTAATATTTTACAGTGGAAAGGTGAAATCCAGGAGTTTTGTCCTAACACCAAAATGCTTTTGGTTGGCTGCAAGTCTGATCTGCGAACAGATGTGAGCACACTCGTAGAGCTTTCCAATCACAGGCAGACACCAGTATCATATGATCAGGTATGTTGTTGCATTTCTTTCTCTTCTTTTTAACTCCACCTCCTCTTTTTTGCACTTATTAATTGTTGATGGAGAGCTAGTTACACATTAATTTAAGATTTACCTTCACCTTGGAAGAAACACCTCTATTCTGTACTTCTCTTATTTACATTGATTGAGTTAAATACCTGATAGTATATAGTGATCAGTGGAGTTGTGTGTGAGAACAGCTTACATTAAAAATCAAAGGCTTATGTATTCTTTACCTCCAGAATGTTGTACCAGAAGTAGACTTCTTGGCATAAATATAATCCTAGCCCTTAAATGTATGAGTTCACTTTTAAAAAGGTTCTCATTACAAAACTAATGTTTTTCAGCATCTATAGCCTGAAACAATATCTTAGATGTGTACTTCTAGCCAACTTCTGGGTTAACTCCTAAAACATTAGGAGTTGACATTTTTTTAAATGTTGACACCTTAAAATGTCAGTGTTTAAGTAATTGAAAAGTGGTGTATTTAAGCAGAATCATCTAGTTACTTGTGCTTGTCTTGCAGTTCCAAACTGTTTGTTGTTTTGCCACAATATCCAGTTTTCCTTTCCTAAAAACCAGTCTCTAAGGGAGAACTGCTCTGCACATCTTGTGGACAGCCAGAGTTGAAAAGGCAGACAGGCGTTCTGGCTCAGCCTTTTCTGGTCCACTTTCTCTCTACTAGTTCCTCCTGGAAACGGAGGCATATGAGATGGTTACACCTGTCCTGTAAGCTTCCATTTCCGGGGGAGATGCCATGTAAGGTTGGACCAGGAAGGGCTGCAGGAGGAGCTATCACTCCTACTTGTCCTTCCCACTCTAGCCATCCACAGGACATATGGGGCAGTTCTCAACTGGATATCACTAGCACCAGGTAGCAAAACTGTTGCGCTCAGCCTACCTCAGTGGTTTTCAACCAGGGGGTGCCATCGCGTTCAAAGTTGTGGAGGGGTGCTGTGACTCTGAAAAGGTTAAGCATTGCTCAGGTTAAGTAAAGGCAAAGCTACAGGTTGTTTGAAAACATACATGAAAAACTAACAATTTTTCACCCTGCTGTGCCTTAACACACACACGTGAAACGAGTTTTGCTTGGCAGCAGCTTGAAGTGAAGTTTCCCAGAAACCCCTGCACCTATCTCCTTGAAACTTGGCAGGCTTCATGCCCTCAGAAGGAGCTACCATACTTGCTGTGTTCATCCAAATCTGCAATAAAATGACAAAATTATAGGCAGTTTTGTACTTCTCCATTATAGCCAATGGGCAAAACAGCGAAACAGTTTCGACAAAACAAAATAAAACAGTGCTTTCGAAATGAAACAAAGCACTATCCCGTCGAAGTGGTGAAACAGAAGTTGAAATGAAACGGTGCTGTTTCGCACAGCTCTGCTTGGCAGGCTTTGTATCCTCAGCAGGGGCTACCATGTTTTAAGGAGATGGGTGCAGGGGTTTCTGGGAAACTGCACCTCAAGCTGCTGACAAGCAAAACTTGTGACACGTACGTGTGTGTGTTAAGGCACGCCGTCACTGGTGCTGGGGCCTCTACATGACATGGTAGTCTGCCCCAATGAGGCCTTCTTCTCCCCGACAGCCTCACCTGGTCTACCACTTTAAATGACAACAGGTAATAAAATAACTTAGTGAGCAGCACAGTAGCACCAGAAGCATCTCCTGCAGCCAAACTGTGACAGAGCCTTTCTTTCTTCTCCTGCAAGAGCTTCTTCTCTAGCATGTGTGTTAAGGCATGTCCTCACTGTGTCCTTTCCCCCTCTTCCTCCTCTCTCTGCTTACTTTCTGTTCCCCTGCAGCCAACCCCAGCTTCAGCTTCAAAACTCAAAATGCTTCAGCTGCCCTCATTTAATTTTGAGGCTGTTTTGAACCCCTTCACTTCATTTTGATTTTACTGTTTCAAGCTCGAAACGAGTCAAAACAGCCTCGAAACAAAACAGCCGGCGAAATTTTGCACAGCCCTACTGCTCACTTAATTGCCTTCAGTGAGCTTGCTCAGATGGAACTGATTGGAATCTGGAAAACAATTCTGATATTCAAGAAGGCATGCAATTAAGGTCACTGAATAAAAATTGTAGGGTGTTTAGTACCTGTGGTTATTGTTCCTTTCAAAGGAATCTCATGGCTAATAGTCCTTAGTACATAAAGA